ATAAAAGTTACGCCTTCTTTCTTTGCGTGAACATTTGGGCGGCGTTATGCAAATCTTCCCACATCGTGACGTAAACGTGGGGGCATGTTAGAACGAACCGTTTTAGGTAGGCGTAGTTGACTCTTAACTTTTATAAAGAATATCTCTTTGGATTTGAGACTGTAGTCTTTGCAACTTTACAGATCTTCTTTATGCACCAAGAGCTTGTAACACTCCAAAGAGAAAGGAAAAATTGAAATCGCATCATATGACCCCTTTAAATTCTGCAGAACATGCATTGCCGTTTGGGGTCAGTAAGATTAAAGAAATTAATGCTTTAAATTGATCAAAAGCGACAGTAAATACATCTGATCTTTCTGTTCATTAAAGAAAATGATAAAAAATATTAAGTTGCAAAAGTGTTTTCAACATTGATAAGAACAGGAAATCTTTCATGAGCACTAAATCAGCATATTAGAATGATTTTTGAAGAATCGTGTGACATTGAAGACAGCTTTGCCATCATATGACTAAATTACATTATCAAATATATAAAAATTTAAATTGTCATATTTCACAAAATTACGGTTTACTGTATTTTTGATTAAATACATGTAGAATTGGTGAGCATAATTACATTCAAATACTAAAAAAAATCTTAAGTTCTTAAATTTTAAGTATTTGGGAAACTTTTATATGATACTGCAGTTGCAAAGAGAAGTTTGAATTATCATTGGAATTATTTGCATTACCTATACGTAAAAATGCTGACAAACACAATCTGCTTCAATAAGTAACAAACATTTGAACTACTTGTCTATAACTTGATATTGATATGGATTTGTGGACTACTTACTAAAAACATTTGATTATTGACAGAATCGAGAAAAGGTTCTTCCTATGTCCTGATCGTAATAAATATTGCACGTTAGAAGCTTGAAAGCTGTAGAAGCATTTCTGGGTGTTCATTAATCCACAGTCTGCAAGTGGAAGACATACAGCGCTGTTACTAATCTTTCAAGGAGTTGCCATCCTGCAAACATCACAACAAGAAGACAGTGTGAAATGCAGCTGAAAAAAGAACTGCAGGAGTTGCAGAAATGCACAGCATAATGTTTGAAGTACTGCAGCCTGAAACTAAAACTTGATTCCAGCTGTGAAGCATGGTGAGAGGAGGATGATAATATCAGGGTAGCCATTCATCACCAGAAGCTCGGTGATACAAGAAGACGTAGACTCAATACAGAAGTAATTCACCACTGGAACTGCTTTCACAGAAGAAACTGCTCTCAGTCCAGACATCAGTTCTATTGATGCACTATGCTGTGTCATGAGCTGAAGAAAGTGTTTAACACAAAGAACACCAGATATGAACTGAAGAGTTAAAGAAATAGTTCAAATAGCTAAATCATTTTAAAGGGATTTCCAAACTATAGTGTTAATGGATGGAAGCTATTACTTCTAAAGTGGATTTAACAGTCAGTTATTAATGCAAGGTTCACATTTTACACAGTATGGTCTTTAAATGTTTAAACAATGTTTACAGTATTGGCAAATACAAGTATAAGTAGATTGTGTTTGTCTGTTATTTTAACTTGGTTTGACAGCAGTGCACATTTTAATGTATTATTAATGCAGAAGTACAGGTAAATACAAAAGCTTCGCAAGCTTTTTCTTGCAAATGTATGCTTATATTTCGAGTGAAACCTGAGCTGTTAAATTCCAGGGTTCTTTAAACTCAGATAAATGAGAGCTAAAGCAGATGTGCTTTCATGTGTGACCATTTTTCTCTTTGGCAGGATGTTTAATATTGTGAATGAGAGGCCTTTGGTTGAGCAGTAAAATGTCACATCGTCAAGAGATGAAATCTTAATCCCTTCACATCAGAATAGAGACATAACATATCTGCAATGACACGCTCAAGAATCTAATGTTTAGCAAAACTCGTATGCTTCCTTTAGGAAAAGGGTATGCGAGAACTGAAGTGCAAGGATTTATGGGAGATTTGCAGCATCCTCACTTTGTGGTCTCTGCGGTCACTTACTGTGACAAATCCTCTTAACATCATGGTGTTAAAGTTACTGGGCCTCATTTACGAAACGAACGTACGACAGAAAATTGGGCGTACGGTCGTTTCAACGCAAAACTTGGAATATATCAATATGGACGTGAGCGGTGGCTACGATCAAATCTCACGTCTGGTCTCAGCTCGTGTACGCAAGTTTTTGAGTTACTTGAACTTGCGCACAGCATAGTAAATACGGTGGAGAATTGTAGATTGACATTTTTATATTCCTGACCGTCAAACGAAGCTCATTAGTCGATCGTTAACCAGTAAGATTAGAATGTTTTGTTTTGTTGTTGTTTTGTACAGGGCTTTAGCTTTATATGCGCGAAAAGCAGCATAAACAAGACCGTGAGGATTCAATCGTCACATCATGCACCTGCAGCGCTTCTGTGAAAGGAGAAAAACAGAAATTAAGTCTATAAAAGGAATAAAATCAATAGGATAACACAAAATATATAATAGGCTATAATATAATTAAAATATTAACAAAAGAAAAAAAAAACTGTGCAATAAGTATAGGCTACGCTCGTTTTTGTGACACTAATGCATTTAATTTATTTTCTTTATATCTTTATTTGATTTAATCCATCTGATCGCACAGGCGCCTCACGCACACACAAACAACATTAGTTCTAGCGTTGCTTGACATTTCAGCCATTCATCATCAAACTCAAATGCAGTCAACCAAACATAAAAGTAACACTGTTTATTTTAAAAGGTCCGCTGTAAAATCAGCGTGCAGCGCCCAAACAAACATTTTTGCACATGTGAAGGATTTTAAACAAATGTTACAAATATGGCAAAAATGGATACATTTGTGGTATAAGGGCAGGCTCGTGAGCCCAATGCCGTTTCAGTTTTGCTTGACATTTGTATGCAGTTTATAATGAATGCCACTATTTGCAATTAGGCCTACAAGGTTAACGGGTGTTTTTGGAGTAAGATCAATTTCTCTTTCACGAGATTACTTCCTCTTTTTGGCCGGGTTTCGTTTCTCCGTGTCGTAAACTCTAGGGGTGAGGCTTCTAAACCAGGGTGTTTTTAGGGGCGTGATATTCAAATGACGATTGTTTTACCAATGTTTCATGAATCACACGTGAACTCTGTCGTAAGTTGATTTGTGCGCAGATCTGTGCTCGTTTCTACGTTAGATTGATAAATGAGGCCCACTATGTTTAAGAACAGAAATATACATCCCGATGGATTCTATATATCATGTAACTTCTGTACTGCATTACAATGGACTGGTATCACAAAAGCTATTTAAAGCCTTTCTAAGTTAGTAGCTATTTAAGATTGTGTGCTATATATACATGTGCATGTTGTATAGTGAGGTCTAGTCCTTTTGATTTACCATTTGCTGCTAATTGTTACAACGCCTCAGCAAGTTGGCTGTTTGCCTGTCAGTATGTGTGATTCCCAGTGCTTTGCTGAGGCCTGTGGTGGCTTGAAGTACAGTGTCTATAAGAGCAAACAAGCTGGGAAATGTCTTTTCATATTAGCGCTCTGGTCTGCTTTGCTCCGAGCGCATTACTGCACTCTAGGCCTGTGATTCAGTATTTGGATCTGTCACCTGCATGAGACCCTTCTAATATTCTCCCTCAAGCACAGTGCACACCTTGACATTTTTTTTTGTCCTTTTCGATTGCTGCTTGTCAGATTGCATGAAAGGATCCCTTTGAGGTCTCGAGTAAAAGCAAGGCCGAAATAAGAACCTGAGACTCTGGACATGATTGACTGGATGTTCTGACATACTTTTGGCAGGAAAAATTGAAATGTAACCATAGGCTTGTGTTGTTAATGTAGAAATCACGTGACATGAGGCTTGTGTTGTTAATGTAGAAATCACGTGACCAATGCCAAACGAAGCCTCACTTTCTGTCAAATCCAAGCGGCAACCTTCCGGTCTCTTTCTTGAAAACAACACGGAAGTGACTTAAACTGCAATTCATCGACTGGCTGCTAGAGACTGGCTCCAAAAAGGGAGTCAATCCCATAGACCCCCCAATTTAAAATGCCCAACTTTACAGCAGAAAAAAATATGTGTACAGCCTGGTACAAAAAGTGGTTTTGGTCTATATAGCTAATTTAGAATTTTTTTTATAACTCATCTGTTTAAATTATATTAAGCCTTAAAGTTCTGCATAATTAAGGGCGTGGCCACTTGAGTGACAGGTGGATTGCCGCTGCTGTCACCGCCGTCGAGCTAGGCGAGCGTGGTTTCAGCCACCAGCCTCCCGCCTCTTTGCCCATTTTCGATTATTCGAGAGTGACTTGCCGCCAAAATGGCGACGGCCGCCTCCGCCCACTTTAGGTTTAAAAAAAATACTCTTCAGAAACCTACAGGTGACGTCACGGACACTACGTCCATGTTTCTTTTTTGTTTGTTTTTTACGGTCTACGGTCCAATCACATGCACGATTCACTTTGCGTGTTGGAATGTTCAAACCCCCAGATCTTACTTTACGAGTACGTTTTTTTTTATCAGACTTATTCAGTTACATTTTTAAATACCCAGTCATACAAGTAATATGAAGAATACAAATTATTTCAGGAAAAAATATTTGCCATATGCAGTCCATATATGTGTACACTATTCTTATATTATCATATTGATATTCGTACTAGCATTTAATGCCACAGTTTAATGGGTAAATGATGCAAAATTCACTTTTCCATGGTCAAATTCAATAAACACACACAGACTTTTATTTGTGCACGTAACATGAAATTACCTATGGAATGTGTGGTGGGTGCTTCGATATAATAATTTGTTCTATCGTTTTACTAAATCATGGGCATGAAATAATTCATTCCCTCGTTTTACTAAAGCATGCGCACAACATAATTCATTCCCTCCTTTTACTAATCGTGCACATGGCATTACTAAATTGTGGCCATGTTTTAGTTCAATCAGATTGAGCGAACAAATTATATCGTGCAATGCTCACATTTCAAAATCCCTTTTTTTTATTTAGAAACTTATACACTAGAAAAGTACTGAATGTTTAAGCCAGCCTTGATTAAACTTAAGCAAAATCATTGTAAGCAAACAACACAAACTCTCAGTAGAACACTTTTAATCTTATAATTCACTAAATAGTTTTTTTTTGTCTCTCTCTTATCCTTCCTCTTCCATCCATTCAGGTCTGGAATCCTTGCGGGACAGTGCCCACTCCACTCCAATGCGCTCCGTGTCCCATAGTGACTCCTTCATCCCACGTTCGCGGAGCCAGGCAATGGACTCGGGCGATGGGACAGCGGTAATCTCCGATGAGACCTACAGTCCCTCCGACAGTGTGCTGCCCACACCGGTGGCCGAGCACAGCCAGGAGCTGGCGGTCTCACGCCAGATCAACGGTGCCCCCTGCAGCATCGAGGAGGAGAAAGAGTCAGAGGCGGGAACGCCCACCGTGGGCGACGTGACTGAGTTAGGAGTGGACAGTAGGGTGGCAGACGCAGTGCAGAGCGCTCAGCTCAGCGATACGGAACAGGTGAATAAGTTTGTTTTAAGTGTACTCCGTCTGCTCCTTGTGACCATTGGACTCCTCTTTGTCTTGCTCCTCCTCCTCATCATCCTCACTGAGTCCGACCTTGACATTGCATTTTTACGTGATATCCGCCAGACCCCCGAGTTTGAGCAGTTCCATTACGAATACTTTTGTCCCCTCAGACGGTGGTTTGCCTGCAAGCTCCGCTGGGTGGGCGGGCTGCTCATTAACAAGTGAAAATGAGGCACTAAAGCTCGTAAAGCCTCCCTTGTTGGGGTTGAGAAGACGCTAAACATGTGGAGAGAGAGACGGAGGGCATCGACCTGTCCCATGAACCCAGCTTCTTTCATGACACTCCTGCTGACACACGGGGGACCACCAGGCCCACAGCTCCTCTTCTCTTCCACTTTTAGTTCTTTCTCCCCCGTCCATTTTTACACCTTTATTTTTGTCGTCTTTTTTTTCTTTTTTGGTTTCCTTATTTTGGATTTCAGGTCATTTCAGGTATTTTATTTTTACAAAAAAACAAAAAAAAACAAAAACAAATCTCAATTCAAAGACTTTAGAAGAATATATTGTTCCTTAAATAGGGAATATGAAATATTTTGTTGCAACAAGAGAATGTTGCCTTAATTTATATTTATTTTAAAATAACAATTAAAGTCTTAAAGAATGTGGTGCATTAAGTCAAGTTGGTATGGTATAGTAGGTTTGGAAAGCACGAGAAAGTTGAAAACCAATGCTTTTCTGAGTTTATGCATAATTCATATCCATCCATTTAACTCTTAGTAAATTCTGATGGCTGCTATAATTTACCACATCAACGATCAGATCAGCAGAGGGTTATATGTAAGGTAAGAATCTGCAAGTTATTTTGGAAGCAAAAGCTGAGGAAAGACTGGAAATGATGTTATTTGAATAAAAACTGATGGGTACATTTGAATTCTGTATTTGGTGGCTTGAGTTTTAGGGTGTCAAATACGTTTTAGGAATATAATTGTGTTTAGGTGGTAGCAAGCTGTGAAGTAGAATTCTTTTTAAAAAGGTTCTTTCAAATGGATACAGAAAAATGAATTGGTATAAATTGTATGTCATGTGACCCAATAGTGTCAGTATCTGTTAAAGTTATCATGAATGATTTAAAAGTATCTAGCACCCATAGATCCAGTCTAGCTACAGTAGATGTGCAATACTGTAAGGGTTTGGTTTTTAAGAACCAAGTATTTTTTTTTTCATGAGTGTGTATTTGCTTTATTATTATGATTTTTTTAATTTTCCATTCTGAATCTCTCAATAGAAAGAAATCCCATTGTATAAAGTAATTTTTTTAATTCCATATCAACCTTGCTCTTAAGTTGGTATTTTGTGGATATCATGCTATTATTATTCTTAATTACAATAACAATGCTGTACTTTTTGTACAAAAAGTAGTTCGTTTCCTAATATATCGACAGTTTTTCCATGTATATTTTAACAGAAATTGAAATGTTATTTTGTTATTGAAAATTAAATTATACCTTTTTTAGCTGTGTTCCAGACGAGGTCTAGAATTTATGGCGTTTCTGTCAAGGGAAACACGGGAAAGATTTTTATCCAGATCCACAATCCATTTCCAATTCAGTCACTTAACCGGTAATGAGAAAACCATCCCTGTGCTTTGTATATTAGTAACGGCACTGCATTCGAACAGTACTGATGACTTTGTACAGTTTAGCCAAAAGACTGCGTGTATGCTCATATTTTAATTAATTGATGTTTTTGTCAATATGTACTAAAAGGCCAGGTTTAGTCTTTAGTACACTACGTCCTGATTAGTCTATAGTATTTATTTGAAGACAGATGATTCTTCCAGTGGCATGCCAGTTGGACAGGGGTTTTATTTTACCATACGTGACCTATTTTATGCCTGCCCCTTTGAAACTGCTATTGATGTAATTGTTTTTGTATTTAAGAAAGCGAAAAATAGAGGAAGCAAATGCAACATGCAGAAGGAGCGGACTTCTTTTTGTGTGCAGTGAAAAAGAGACCAGAATTGAGAGACAAGTAACAGCCAGTGATAATTGCCGTAGTAAGGGGGATGTTTTAGATCTTACATTGGTATTCATACTACGATAAATTACAATAATTGCAGCTTTTAAGTATAGCATTAGTTTGTGGCAACTCACAAGCTTGGCTTTACTAGTACAGTTATTTTAAATGAACATGCTTCAATCCTCCAATCACAATCTGCTGTTGTGTATGAGGCCAGAATCACTATGGTGCTAGTGAACAAGTTGTCACGGCGGCTGAGATGTGTTTTAGGAAGCGGCTGACTGTAACAGTAATGTGTTTGACTAGCCGAATTGTGCAGTCGGGTCACATGCCTTTATAACCATTTCATAGAACCGCTGTCTTCCACCGACTACAGGAGCTGAAACCGGTATTAGCTATGACAGACAAACATGAGGTGCATGGAAAACCGTAGCAGAAATGGCTAAAAACCGCTAATACGTGGAAAAGAGAGAGAGCCATTGGCGTTACGCATGTCTCGTACCTTGACAAGTATTCATGCATGCATTTATAAAATCTCTGATGTGCCAAATTATAACAGCGTCCATTTATATTTTTGTAGAATCTGATCATACGGTTGTTTTCACAGTACAATAATACAAAAGTGTTGCTCTGAAGGGTACTTGCTTGCTATTGATGATGAGTTTTGATTCAGAGTATCAATAAATGGATTTTGAGCAGAGAAAAAAAATGCTTGGAAGACGAGTAAAGGTTTTGAAAAATAACAATTGAAGTGGATCGAATTTTACTCATTGACAGCATTATGTAGCCTCAGTGGTCAGTCCTGCATGGCAGCGCCGTTCAATAAGCAATAACCTGAATTATAGAATCATGCGGATGAATCATTTTGATGGTTTTTGTGTTGTTGTGTAGCAAGTCAGACTACCTGATGTTTTCTAAGGAGTTTGGAAGTTGGACATAAAATTGCATTAACTAAAAGGCTCATTTTATATGATGATTATTGCCAAAATTTGCTACATTTTATACTCATTGTAAGCACTCGTCATCTTGTTTGGATTCTGAACTGTCAGTGTCCTGCTGCTCTGAAGTTCTACGCTTCTCTTCATCCTTGAAATCCTACTGCACACGTTTCAACTAGCGCGCTCCTTCCTAGACTACCAGATCAAGGGCAATTGCTACTACTGTACTTGTGAGCTTCTACTTCATTCTTTTGTCTCTAGACAGTTTACTTGTACTGTACGGAATGGCCAGGTCTGACTGTGATGAATGCAAGGGTCCTGTAAAGGACAATTGTCAGTTAAATTGGCTCATTTCTGTGATCAACTACCTGGGTTATTTCACAAGGTCCCTCTGTGAACTTTGTACAGAAATATTTTTATGCTGCTTAGTATGCAAGTATAATGGAATTTGAACATTGCCATGACACTTATAAAAAAAAAAAAAAGCGACTTTCAGGAGTATTACTGTACACTGCAGATAAAGCACTTCACTGGCTTCAAATATACATTTACAGCATGAACAAAATGTTACAACTTCAAGCAAACCTATTAAAGAAGGTGATTTTAATGTTCAAGATCTGGTGTTGTTGGCTACAGCTCTTAGATTCTGGTTTACAGTTGTGAAATCATATTAAGTGGCTGCTGACCTTTAAGAGTTTGAGCTTTAGAGATTTGGACCACATTCAAAGTAAGGTCAAGATGTCCATGTTCATAAAAGGGATTCCTAAAGGTAATTCAATGAACCACTTGCATTAGACAGCAGCTGTGTGATGTTTCAGATCGACTCGGTTAGGTTCTGATAAATATTCTACCAGGGAATTTAAATTTCATCATCATTAGATTTAACTGCTCCTTACATGCTTGCAAACAAATTTCCAAATTATTTGGTAAAATCTGACTTCACCTGAACCGTAGCTTTAAGATTCACTATGGGGCTGAGATCCTGTAAAGATCAGTGGTGGCAACACGCTTCATTTACTGTACTGTGCTTTTGTCACTTTGCCAGCCTCCACAGTCCCCTCAACAGATATGCATATACATGCACATTTGTTTATGCATAGATGTCTGTCTGTGGGCGTGTTTTTCTGTAATCTGTATCTTTTCTATTTGGGACTGAAGGTTGCAGTTTAGTTCCTTTATATATGAATATTGAACTATATACAAAATGTATGTGCCAAATACAGTTCCTGTTAAGTCAGATTCATTCCAAAATCATCTTTGTACTGTAGGAAACCTTCCATGAAAATGGTATAAAGAAATTGTTTCACTGATAGTCCCTTGTAACTGGTGCCATGGAAATATTCAAACTTGAAATAAACATTCAAAAGAGTTTGAGATATCTTGTGGTTTATAGTTCACAATGCAAAAATTATGTATTATAGGAATGAATCAGATGGTTTTCTAATTTTCTAATTCAAGAAATGAGACTAATAACCATTTCCTTTATAATAAAATGGCATCACTGCTTCACTGTAACATTTCCCCTAAAATATTTTAAAAACTTATTGACAACTACACTGGCCTCTTGAAGATAAACTCGCATACAGCAACCTGTATGAGCTGGAGTGATAGCATTTTTTCCCTGTTGATCTCTTTTCTTTTTCCTTTCTTTTTTTTTTTCTTTTTTAAAGAAAAAAATGTTGATTGTAGCAAAAATGTATATTTGAAAAAAAACAAGCAAACATACATTTGTTTTGAAATATATACCCTTGTGCTTCATTGTTATATAAATAACAAATTTAAACTAATATACACCACAAAACAATGTATTTATTAAAAATCAAATATAAAATTTCTACACAGTACAAATATCCACAGTCAAATTAATTTGCGTTACCAGTAGAAGTATTCTGATTCTAGAGGTGAGAGAATGTTGGTTTGAGGAATGGACGAGCAGCAGTCTGTGGTGTGGGTAAAGCCATGAAGCCGGGCCTCTTCACTGCTGGGACTGATGGAGCAGGCCTGAAACCTCTGCCTGCACTTCGACTACCACCTCTGTATCCTCCTCCTCTTGATGAAGACCAGTTGTTGCTGTATCCACAACAATAAGGGTGGAGAGGGAGAGTTAATTTGGTTTCATATAGCCGATATCAAAGTCTGCACAATCCAACAATGCTTCTGCTGTAACATACTGACCCTTTAGAAGAGGAGTTTTGGCCGCCGGTACCTTTTCTTCTTTTGGGTTTTCTGGAGTAAGATGCTTGCTTTCTCTTTGCTCCTCGTCCAGAGGTGCTTCTGAAATAGGTTGATGTGTCCCCTTCATCATCATCATCTTCCTCGTTTTGATGGCCTCTTGTTGTGTCAATCCATCCTGAACTCTCTGTCTGCGCCTCAGCTACAGAGGAAGTGTGAGAACATTGTCTCTTAAGCTACTTCATTTCAAGAGCTTTATAGGTTGCTGCTTTGAGCTAGCTGAAATATGATCTGTTTTACAGTTTATAGGTAAAGTTAGCCAAATCAAAAC